AGAAGTTTCTTCACATCAAAAGAAATTACCAACAAAGTGAAAAGGTAACCCACAAATTGGAAAAAATCATGACAAATAAGTACTCAAGATAAAGGTCTGCTCTCTAGAATTTATAAAGAACTAAAAAACAATAGAGCCCCAACATTTAAAGACCCAACCCAGAAATGGGCATCCGAGATGAACACAGGCTTCTCAGAGGATGAAATTAAAGAAGCAAATAAATATATGAAAAAATGCTCCACATCACTAGCCATACGTGAAATGCAAATTAAAACTACATTGAGATATCATCTCACCCCAGAAAGAATGGCTATCATAAAGAAATCACCCAACAACAAATGTTGGAGAGGCTGTGGGGAAAAAGGAACCCTTCTCCACTGCTGGTGGGAAGGTAGACTGGTTCAACCGTTATGGAAATCAGTGTGGAGCCTCCTTAGAATAGTTGGACTGGAAATCCCATTTAAACCAGCTATTCCTCTACTGGGAATTTTCTCAGAGGATCTGAAAACATCATACCATAGTGATATATGTGTGACTATGTTTATAGCAGCACAATTTGTGTTAGCCAAATCTTGGAAACAACCAAGATGCCTCTCACCTCAGGAATGTTTGAAAAAGATGTGGTAATTTTACACAATAGAGTATTATTCTGCTATTAAGAATGATAAACTCGAAGCCTTTGTATAGAAGTGGATGCCACTTGAAGATATATTCATAAGTGAAATAAACCAGACACACATGTGTAAATATTGTATAGTTTCCCTAGTATAAGAACTCAAATGAAGAAATACAAATAGAAAGGTATAATACAAGTAGAAGAAAAGCAGGATCTCGAGGACTAACCAATCAAGACAGGGAAAGGAGAAGAGCTAAGAAACATGACAATATCAAGCTATACAGTTATATGTAGAAGATGCACAAGGCAATGATCCTGAGAATCCCCAGAAGATTTTTTAATCTAGCAGTTAATTGGAAAGATTCTCACTGTGACTAACTATATATACTGATATCTGTGAACTAAGCAACTGCACTGCAGATGGTAATCTGTAATAGTAGTTTCATGCTTCGAGTGCCTGTCATTCTGTTCTTCTGAATACGGACTGCTTGTCATGACATGCCAGTTGCTGCTGTGTTGTCTCCTGGGTGGATGATTGATTGTTCAAAAAGAAGGGGATG